CCCCACTCCAGTCTTGCCCTGCACCTGGGCTTGGGCTCCATGCTTCCAAGCGCACTTTTTCTTCACTCACACTGAGCCAGGAGCCTGGGACACAACTGGAGGAGGCCATGAGCCCAGGACTATTGGCTTTCCAGAGTCACAGGATCCCCTGCTTTCAGGCAGGTGCAGTCCTGGAGCCCGTGACAACCGCAATCCTTGGGAATGTCAGGAATGTAAATTCTTGGTCCAATGGAGAAGCAGACCCTGTGGGCCCCTCAATCTATGTTCTGAGAGAGCCACCAGCTCTGACATACACGTCTGAGAACCCCACTTCACAGAAACCAGGCCACATGGATGAGTAGGGGATGCTCCCTTAAGATACACAGAACCCGGGACAGGGCCATAGGTATTTGTACTCGAAACTGACCTAGTGACACCCAGACCCAGGTGGCAGGAGACCCAGGGGCAGACACATGCCCAAGGTGTGGTCTGGCACTCTGCTAACAGGGCTCGGTCCCCTTGGACCCAGGTGCTGGCTGGCAGAGGCCTCACCTGCTGGACAAAGCACTGGATTCACAACCAACAACAACAGCACACGAGAGGAGGGAACAAGTGTGACAGCAGTTTGCAAGTAGCCAGCATCGGCAGGACTCACGCCATACCTCACACATAGACACCTTCCCTGCGGCCTCACAACCATGGGCGGGGTTCAGGTCAGCTCTAGGCCTCTGAAGCCACCAGGAGCACAGAGTGGAGTGACTGTCCTGGGCAGGGGGCTGTGTTCAGCTCCAAGGTGCCCAAGACAAACCCAGTCTTTCCCCTCACAGCGTTACCTACTGGGACGGGACAGCCAGACACACTTCTGCACTTGGCTCTCTTTCCTGAAAAGGCAGGCAGGACAACTCTGGTGGAGTCCCAGCACTACCCTGAGAAGAGATACACAGCATCAGCCCAGCTGGGCCCCTCCTGGACGCTCATCTTCCCCAGACAACTCTGCTTTCTGCCTCTGGGCTTTGACTGAAGGCCGCAATCCCATGGCCAAAGTTTGGGTTTCTCTGTTCTCCTCAAGGCCAAGTCCCCTGCCTCAGTTGCCTGGCCTAACAGGGAGGACGGGTGAGTGAATGGGCAACACTAATGTGAAGTGAAGGAGCCGGGTGCAGGTCACAGAGGCAGGGGTGTCCTGCCCGAAGGGTCAGAGATTTCAAAAGAAGGCCAAGCTTCAGCGGGGAAGCCACAAATAGACCTGAGCCTCTACTTGTTTGGTTTGGTTGTTTTTGTTTTTGAGGCAGTCTCCCTTTGTACTGCAGTCTGGCTTTGAACTCATATGAACTTGCAGCGATCCTCCTGCCTCCCGAATGCTGGCATCACACTGGCTCATCTTCACTTGTTGAGCCAGGACTGAGATGTAGTGGCCCTGTGTCCTTGCCATCCAGCACAGAAATGTTTATCTATATGGATGCATTGAATGAGCACGGTCAGGACCAGCCCTCACCTCAGCCCCGCCCTCTGTACTCACCAGCAAGTCTCCTTCCTTCCTCCCAGCAGCTCTTTCTATGGGAACAACCGCAGGCAGTGGCTGGATAGTGCTAGATGGAACTGCTGCTTATGCCCCATAGCTCAGCATCAAGTAGGGGAAACAGGAACATGAGTAACTATGTGGCTTTGTTTTTGTTTATGTCTTTTTGTTTTTGAGACAGGGTCTCATTTCAGGCTGGCTTGAAATGCATTATGTAGCCTAGGCTGAGGTAGGACCATTGCAAGTTTGAGCCCAGCCAGGGCAATTTAGCAAGACTCTGTGCTTTAAAAAAAAAAAAAAAAGTGTCTGGAGATACAGCTCAGTGCCAAGGCTGTGGGCTCAACCTTCAGTACCACAAAATAAATAAGTAGATAACTGCATAAAATGAATGGCAGTTGTCACAGAGCAGGGCCCTCTGGCCAGATAACCCCTCCCAGGCCCACTGTACAGAAACACAAGGCTCTCGGGCCATGAAATTGACCTTGCTTATTTACACGGAACAGACAGACACACAGACCCCAAAATCTAAACAACTGGAAGGCCAATTTATTAATTTACCTTTCCAGCAACTATTCATGTCTGCCATCCAGGGCCTGTGCCAAAAAGCCCAATCCATGCACTCATTCAACAGGGATTTAATAAGTACAGTGTGTCTATTATTTAACCAATGAACATGATTGGAGGAAATAATACAGCCAGATGAAGCATGGACACACAGGAGGCAGAATTGTGCAACAAGTTTGGCATTAAACAAGTCAAAGTTCAAACGCGGTCCACCTTTTATTACGTAGGTGACTGAAGAAAATTACTTAACCTTCCCGAGTCTGGCCTCACCTGTAAAACATGGGCATAACAACACCCCTCAGGTGATTGTTAAAGAATTAAGTGGCATTGCACATGTAACCAGCTGGTCACCATTGTGTTTACATTTATCTAGAAATGGCATGCCACATAATGGCTATGGGAACAGGCTGTGGGATCAGATATCTGGGTTTAAATCCTAGCTTTGCCACTTACTAAGAATATGATTTTTGGCAAACAGCTTAATGTTTCCCACTAATTCTCAGTTGTGCTCATTTGTAAAATGGGAATAAAGATGCTTCACTGTCCAAGATGTAAACAGAACACTTAGCAAATTTCCAGAATATGATAAACATTAAATGCAATGATTAAGAATAATAAAAAAAAAAGAATAATTTTTAGTGTTTCGTTTTGTTTTTGAGACAGAGTCTCTGTGAATTCCAGGCAGGCCTTGAAGTAAGCAGCCCTAGGCTGGCCTGGAACTCAAGCAATCTTCCTGTCTCACCCTCCCAAGAGCTGAGATTACAGGCATGCACCACCACGCCTTGACTAAGAGTAATTTTAAAAAGTTGTCCATGATTACATAGAAATAAATGGAACACGTACTGAAAAATCACAATTAGTGGAAAACTTAATGAAATTAAAAATCGGGCCATTAATCATACCAAATATCACTTTGTATTTATTTTAAAACTTTTGAGATAAGCCTCTTACATCAGGCGAGTTTTACGCCCATTATTTTTAGTTTTTAAAATAACATCATTCGTGTGCAGCCAAGCAAGAAACTCAAATCTGTCTCAATACTGCTAAGTCATGCTCCACAGTGAAACGGAAGCAGCGCCTCTGGGACCTACGTCCTGTTTATCTGAGGGGAACCCTGTGCCCATAAAGCCTTGAGAATCGGCTTAGCAATTATACACCTACAAGTGCACTGTGATTGTAACAAAAGCCCCTACAGGACAGGACACAAACCACCTATTTTGCATCATGCCTTTATCCGCCACATTAACACTGTCAATTTTTGAATGGCTTATAAAACTTATAAATCACAAAATAGATCTTGGCTTTTGATAAACATCACCGTATCTTTCGACTCCCCCATTCTAGCCCAGTCGACAGGTCTAGAACAAAGGCCAGCCCCTCTTCCACACATCTCTGCTTCGCTAGGATCTGGGAAGCCACGCACCCGCTGCAACTGTGCCAGGCTGCACCTCAGAGGCCGCGGGAGATAGGCTGCAGCCAGGAGCTGTTACCATCAGGTATGCCCCCAAGCAAGGCTCAGGGTGCAAGTTGGTGCAATTTCAGGTCTCAACTGCAACTTGTGCTCCAAATCTATTTGAAAGCACGAGTTTCTACAGAACTAAAATGTGGGAGGCTCTTTCAAGACAGAAACTGTTCCATATAAACGCAATACTGGAATCTCATCCCGAGCCCCAGCCCTGGGCTACGGATCGCGAGGCAGGAATCCGGACTATAAATACCAGGCTGGGTGGAGACAAGGTGCCCGACGTGGTGGTCACTTTGGGCCAAGTCGCGGCGGGCACCGGGGAGGAGAGCAAGCTCGGAGCACAGCTGGGCTCAAACGACCAAGACCCCATTACGGCGTGTGCTCAAGGGCCTGAGTCACACACCGTGTTAACTTCGCCTGGTAAAACGGAAGCCACGGACGTGGGAGAAGCAAAGGCAGCACAAGGGATGAGACACCCTGGCTATGGCGCGAGACCCACGAAAGCAGGGACGAGCGCGCTACACGCAGAAGAACGCTGCCTCGGGGATCTGGTCAGACTGCTAGCCAGTAGCGCCGCGGCCCGAGGCCTTCACAACTAGGCGGCCAGGCCCCGCCTCACAGGCGGGGGAGGGGAGCAACCGCCATCTTTCGGGAGCCCCGAATTGACCGCGCGCGGGCCCGTTCTCGCGAGATCGCAATGGCCTCTGGGAAAGGGCGGAGGAGGGGAAGAGAAGGAAGCCGGGTCCTAGATCGGAGGCGGGCCAAGGCCGCGAGTGGAGCCCCAGGAAGCGGGGGGGGCGGGGAAAGTTGCGATTGACGCGCAATTTAGGCCAATAGTAACAGAGCACGGGCGGACCCCTGGCCAATGGGCAGTGTAGCCCTCCGCGGGGGGCGGGCGCCGGGGCCGAGGGTAGCTTGAGTGCGGCGGCGGCGTTGTTCAGTCAGAGCGAGAACATTCCAGAGGTAAGTCCGCAGGGGGCGGTGTCCCACGCCTCTGACCTGTGTTCCCGCTCTTCACCCGCTGGCACCCGGCGACCGGGAGCCGCCTGGCAGCCCGCGGCTCACAGCCGTGTTTCCCACCAGGTCGCCAGGCTCGGCGCTGCCGGTGTGGACGCGGACGTCGCTGG